CCTAACTGTATGAAGTCAAATTCCTTAAAATGGCATCATGTGCCTGGAAAATACAGAATATAGTGCCGTTAACCATGAGTTCTCTTGAATATGTTCATGCAAAACACTAGAAGACAAACTGAGCCTCAGAGTCCTGTGAAAGTACCTGGGAAAAAAAAACGGACATTATTATTTACTGGGAAAATTATCAACTTAAAAACGTTAGTAAAGCTAATCTAGAGCTCAAGAGTTAAAACTGTAATATGGTGCTTTTTAAAAATATATATATATTATAGACAATTTTTCTCTTGAGCATCCTGTAGCTGTAACACAGACTGCTACAGGAGTTCCCTCCTGTCCACAGCCATCAGCTTCCATTTTAATTCTGAATAAGAGTTACAACAGGGGAATAATTAATTCCTTTAATTCCCCTCTGGGATTAATCAAGTTTTGGGTGTGTTTTGAATGAAATATGAAAAAAGTGGGGGGGCGGTGGGAGGGGTGGTTATAACTGTGGCATTTGGAGAATCAATAAACAATAAAAGGTGTAATAATCTGCCTTTACACAAGGCATTAAATATATTATGTCCAAATGTAACAATTTGTGTGCACAACACAGAAGTCTCTGAAAGGCACATCCAACTCAATTCTTTAGGCCAGAACACAAAAATATGCATTTTGTGACTTAAGTTCAGCTGGAGTTGCCATGGTTGTGTTTCCAGTAATCCAGTGATAATCTGAGATGCTGCTCTAATGCTTGTTAATCTAAACACACGGCTGCTTCCTGGTGAAAGAAATGATTTGTTTTACCTACATGTGGACCTCTCTGTGTTCTCGCTACACCCCTGGGACAGAACAATTCAATGTTTGTGAGATCGCCGCTGTCCTACGCTTCTCTACAATCACAGTCCCGGCAGCAGCTCCAGGTTAGCGCGCCTAATGAGGGGAAGCAATGCAAACAATAAACGGCGATTAAACAAGGCAGTTAATGTTTGTCTGAGCTATGAAATGTTCTTGAGTGAATCTTAACTGAGCCATTTTAATTAGCACGCGTTATCCTGCTGCTGTGAAGCTTGTGGAGTTGAACTTATGCTTGGACTGCCTGTGATGAGGAAAAACAAAATCTCTAACCAGCTTTCAGACAAACCCTTTGAAGATTTTCTTTCCCCCCAAAACTAGCTGGTTATTTTGACACACTTTATCCAACTTCACACAAACTCTAGCTCGATGTGGGGAAAATAAACCCCAGAACGAGTGGATGCCAAAGATGTGGTCTTGTGGTGTTAAAGGAAAAGTAATAGCTGTGCCCCAAAGTTCAGAGTTGTTTCCCATTTGTCCCACACAGTTTCAGATTTTGGACAGAACCAAACACCACACTCTGCTCCTGACTAGAGACTGTGAAGAACAGGGAGATTTTTTGAGCACTTGTGGAACATAAACAGTCCCTCCACAAATTTCTGCACCTCCTTCAGTCTTGCAGTGGGCCTTCTCCTCTTTCCACCTCGTCTGTTAAAAACATCCCGTTTCTGTGACGTTCCCATATTTTATTTAAAAAAATTTAGTGACTGTCTTTACAGCATCTCTGTGCATTAGGGCTGGGTAGCAATTAATCAAATTTTCTGTTTTTGGAGAGGATTGAAGCAAGAGTTTTTCAAGATGCATTCTCATTTCTACAAAAATTTAAGAAACAAAGGGAGAGAAAAAAAAATCAATTAAAATCAGAAACTGAATGTGTCATTTTATTTTTAAAAGGGGCAGTATTATGTATTCTACAGACACATACTGCCATTTCATAGCATAAGTAACTATGTTACCTTAAGTTGTTAAAAAATGTTACATGTGCCAAATGTGACCCAACAGATGGTCACTTCCTGCTTCAACTAGGCAGATATGCTGTGAGGAAAATAAAACATATCAGACACTTTCTAATAAAACACTCATTATCCTCTTGTCAGTTTGAAGCGCAAATAAAAATGATTTTCCTGTCACGCACCATGCTACTTTATTACTTCCTCCTGCTCTGACATATCCCCCAGGATTAGAAGTTCCCATCGCTGCGGCTGAGTGTCCAAACTGTCTTCAGTAAATAGCTCTCTTAATCCCCTGATGAGAATATTGGCTAAATTTCACACCTCCTCTGTCCGGTTTAATGTCTCTGAGAGAACCAGGACCCCGTTCTCTGTATGAGCGCGACAACCACCTTATCTGTCCCACACAAGCTACTCTAATTACAGCTAAAGACATTTCACACTCTGCTCCCGTCCCGCAGAGTACAGGAGGTTTGTTCATCACGAGAGACACAAAACACGTTCCAGTCCATCAACTGTCTGCACCAAAACTGGCAACTTCTAAGCCCAAGTAATGACGCACTGCAAAAAAACGGTGAGGAATGTCAGCTTTTCCACCTCAATCTGCCTGCAAAGAACCAGCCATCCATATGGCCAAAAATCAACCTGAGTTGAAGCTATCATAGTCAAGGAACAGAATTGTAAAGAGAGTCAATGATCCCTTTCATGCATCAGTATCTGTTGATAAAAATCAAGAAAATAAATTTAAAGTTAATAACCAACATTTTAGAGTGGAATTTTAGAGTGGCATCAGTGTACATGATGCCATGGAACAGGTTCTGTGTGAACACCGAAACGGTTCACACAGGTATGGTGCAGATGATGAATGATGCTGCAAACTGCCTGTGATGACGCCCATGGGACTCTTTTACAAATTACAGCAAGATCAGGAGAACAAGCATCAGTTCCTTAGTCCTAAACAGAGAGGGACATAAATAATCTGTTATCTTACACTATTTATTTGTTCAAAAACCCAAGACAGCACATGCAGAGTGAAGTCACAACAAATATCTGTTCCCGTTTCTGTCAAAAGTAAAATTGTAGCCTCAGGACTGGGACCTCCTGCGGATTGAACTTCAAGATTAATTTAGCAAGTAGGTGGGCAACTTTGTTTCTGCAGCACAAATCCAATGAACTAAATCAACTAAATGCTTCATCCTCCTCATAGAACCAAGACCACTAATGTAAGAGAAAGCAGAGTGGACTGCTGCATCCCAGGTGGAGGTGGGATTCTGCTGGCCCTCAGCACCACTACTTGTCCCTGCTGTATCCGAGGAGACAGACGCAGACGCTGCGTGTCACCTGTAATCCTCATAATAAAATATGAACTCCCAGCACCTCAGGCGTTATCATCAGAGCCCAGATGGGAAAAGTAAAGAGAGAGATCTGAGGAGTAATTCAGAGGAATTAATGAAAAAAAAAACGAAAAGAAAAAAGAAACAGAAGAAGAAACAGAATTCTCACAATCCAAACTCAGGCTGAGGACCGATGAGTTTGGACGATAAAATCAGTGGTAAAACATCCAGATGTTGGCCGGCGGGTTAGAGATTTTGTAGAAAAGATCCATGTCATGAAACAGCTGGATGGATTTTCTGTGAATATAATAGAAAGCTTTGCACTCAATTAGGAAGCAAAACCGGAAGAAGGCTTTTACCTAATCCTGAGGCAAAGAGCTTACTGCTGCTGCAGCACTGCTGCTGCTGCTGCTGCAGCACTGCTGCTGTTGCTGCTGCTGCTACTGCTGCTGCTACTGCTGCTGCTGCTGCTGCGGCTGCTGCAGCACTGCTGCTCCTGCTACTGCTGCTTCTGCTGCTGCTGCAGCACTGCTGCTCCTGCTACTGCTGCTGCTGCTGCAACCCAAACAGCTCAACTACTGATGGTAGGCAGGTTTTGTTGGAGGATCACATTCCAACCATCCATGCTGCTCTGCATGGAGGCCAGAAGGTTCAATCATTATCTCCTCTGTCTTCAGTGACAAATGACTACATAGTGAAGCTCATTGTAATGTTGACTGGTAAATCTTTTTCCTCTTAACTCTTCCTTAAAGGCCAGATCTGTTCAGTGCAAAACTTATAGTTGTCATAACAACAGTTTCTCCGACCTGAGCTGTGAACATCTGCAGCTCCTCCAACGTTTCCATGAGTACGACTGTGAACCATGGGAAGCTAAAACCTCTGCCACTTCCTGATTTCTGGGTACAAAATGTTTTCAAAGATTTTTTTTCCATCTTAAGTGAAAATGTATGTACTTTTTTCTAGGGTTTTGGCTTGATTATTTGTGTTATTTTAGCAGATCACATGTGTTAGAGTTCGTCCAGCTAACAATTATTTGATTACTAAAATAATTTCAATAATCTGAATAACTGTTTCAGCAGTGCTACATTTAATTCTAAGGTCTCAGTAAAACTAAATCAAACTGTAGAGTCAAAACCAACACTGGTTTGCAGTTCTGTCACTTCCAGACTGTAATTAAATGACACACAGGTGTATGAGGAGTAAACAACTAACAGCTATAGTTTGGTTTAGTTAGGAGTAAACAACTAACAGCTATAGTTTGGTTTCATAGAGGGGAAAAAAATGTGGGAGTTCATATTTCAAAAGTCCCACATTTCAAATGTGGGAGTTTGAAATATGAACTCCCACATTTTTCACAAGCTAAATATTTAGCTTGTGAATTAAATATTTAGCCACATATTTAGTTCCAAACTACATATTTAAGTCACAAGTTACATATTCAGCTTTCAAACTAAACATATAGTACAGACTAAATATTTTCCAAATTTGAACTTTGAACTCCCTCATTTTCTTTCTATTACAGGCTAAATAAACCAAATTGATGAGACTTCAGCTTCCTAAAGGAGCATTCCTTTTTTTTTAAATTTGTGCCAAACAAAGTGGAAAGTGGGGCAAACCCAGAGAAAGACATTCTGTGTCTGTCTCTTCATCTGGTCTGGAACACGCGGTGACGCGACCATGATCCAGCAGCCTCTGTGCGCCAAGCTGCTGCGCTGCGCTGCTGCGCCAAGCTGGAGCGCAAAGCTGCGGCGCAGCGCTGACCCGTTCCTCCACATCCACACCGCGTGCCGATTAATCGAGCCCAAAAGCAACACCTGCGCGCTGCTTACATGCACGACGCAAGCGGCGTTTAAAGTTCTCCGTAAAGCTTTTACCTTACCTGTTTCAGGAGCCCGCGGTGCGTCGGAGTTCGCCGGAAAAGCTCCGGTGAACACTTTGAAAGCGCGTCGTTTCCAGCGTGGAGATCCCACTCGTGTTCTCTCAACGACCAATCCGAGGGACAGAAAACCAAAAAACATCAATATTTCCTCTCCTCCTCTTTCACGAAGCGCTCCGCTTTCCCTCGGCTCTCAGCGTCCCTCGCCTCCCTCTCCAGCGCGCATTTTATGCAAAGGCACGACAGCAAGTCCACGCTGTGTGCCAGCAGTTCCCACGCTGACCTCTGACTAAAGCAGACGATTCTCCTCTGCTTTAAGCTCAGCTTTTAATCCCGTCGCGTCGTCGTGCGGCCCGGAGCCTCGGAGCTTCGGCTGCAGAGGTTCCCGGGACTCGACCTGCAGCAGCAGGTAAACTCCACACTCACCTGAACCTGAGGACGCTGCCGCCCGAGGTGAGAGCAGCTGAAACACAGCAACGCTGCCCCCATGTGGTCAAAAAGGAAAACTCCGTTTCCACTTGTAAATCCCAAAGCACATTTATTTGGCCATCAATGCTATTGGAAGACATTGATTGCCGATCTATAAATGCATGAAAAAGATGATTTTTGAAACCAAAAATGGTTCAATGAAATAATATAAAATAATGAATAGACCCTACAAATCAAAAGGAAAACAGCAGCTCTTGGTATAATCCCCTCTTTCTGCTCCCCCATTCACTACAAGGTTAGAGAATGCAGCTTGCAACCACTGGGGGAGAAAAGGCCTATATTAAATATTAAAATTAATACCAGACCATTAACAGACTAAATCACCTCTTTATAAAAAGAAAATGGCAGCAAGGTTTAGGTTTGCCAAGTCTTAATGAAACTATAAACCTCTAAAATAATGTTATTTAGATTAGATGTGTGCAAGAGGAAAATGTCTGACAGTAACGCAGAACACAAGTCAGAGGAAAAAAAACAACACATGCAAAAGAGGAATACAGGACCAAACATCTCAACCATGATGAAATAGAAATGAGTCATCAGAGTACTTTAGATTCTTCTGCCAAACTAGTAAGTACCAAACTATAACTATATTCATTTTGTCATATGTGTCATAGGAGCTCTTTCAGGTCATGACCTGGTGGTGAACCCCTTCAGTGTAGGTCCATATGATGATGCTGTGTTTGTTGTCATCATCACCTGCTGCCTATCTCTGTAACACATGAGAAGTTTTTCATACCGACTGAGTATGAGACTGCATGCTGGGGAATCTCCCACCAGCATACTTGGACAAGTGAGATTTTGTTTATCAGCCGTTACACTGAGACTGGGTCCCAGCAGGCATGTGATTGTCAGTCCATCCAAACATCCAGACGCCTGTCGACTGCTCTCATTCCTCAGAGACAACCTCACCATACTCATTGAGACGATGACTGAGGACCCATCAGCAGAGAAAGTTGGGTTCTGATCCAAGCTGCACCTGAGGCCTATAAGACCAGGGCTGACATTTCCATGAACCTGAGGTGGCAATATTCTGGGTTACTCTACTTCATACCCATTCTCTTCCCCTTTCCCTTTCTCTTCAAATATTTTGATTGATTTGATGTCAAATAAATACATTTGTGTACACATGTATCAGTTTAACCATAACAAATGTATCCTGTCATTCAGTGATTATTCCACTGTCTTTGGATAACATGTCCTAAAAATAAGTCAGATGGCCTCAGGTAATGCTTTTAATATTTTCCTGTAGACACATTGCTGAAGTAATTTTTCAAGATGGCCGCCTTTGTGCTTTTTAATTTAATCATTGCAAACAAAAATATCAGTTTTCATGATGGGTAAACTTTATGTTACATCATACTCATCCTACTCATACAACTTTAAAGTAACACATAGAAAAACCTGACAACTGAACAGGATATTTGCAAGACACAGAAAATAGTTTAAACAGAAGGAGGCGTTACCGCCACCAACTGGCAATAGCTTCAGTTAATTTTCCAACAAAGTACTTTTTCTAAACAAAGAAAAGGTCTAAGTCCTAAAATATAACCCATTAAATATCAATGATCAAAAAATTAGTTTCCGACAATTACAGCTGGCATAAAAAAAGACAAACCGGAAAGGCTGTTGGGGGCCCCTGCTGATTTGGAGGACATAAGCAGCTGATCTGTTTGTTTTCCAGGCAGCTGCCCCAAGATTTTAACAACTGAAAAACTAAACTTCCATCATCTTTTATTTAGTTGGATATTCATGTTTTACATGAAAAAAAAAAACATTTAAGAAAACTTTTTTGTTTACACTTCAAGTTTTGACAAGATAAAAATACACATCGAGGGCGACGCCTTCCAGCTGCTGTGGCTTGGTTTTTTGACTTCTAAATATTTCAGTAAATTGTTCCAGGAACAAACCATTTCACTAACAACCTCAATCGCTAGAATTCAAAACTTCAAATCTTCTGAGGAATAAAGGCAGGTTTTCTTCCACATACATGAGGAAGATCTCAAAAAACAGAAATAAACTCTTCAAAGGACCAAACCCTAACACCTGGGATTCAAATCTGTTTGAAAAAAAACACCTGGTGAAAAAAAACAAAAGTAATTCCAGACAACCTTAGAAAAAATTGTAGTAGTGGAAAACTCTTATTCCTGTCAGGAGTCAACAGAAAAGCAGCTTTTATTGTCTGACTCCTTCTACTCCTCCAAGGATGTAACAACAGTTTACAGAACCATGAAATATCTTTGCAGTATTTTAAGATTTTTACAAAAGTAAAGAAAATTGTATGTTTAGCAAATGAACTTTTATTTCTATATAATTCAGATATGTACAGTACAGTTTAAAAAAAAAACAAAAATAACATCCTGAGACTAACATCAACCATGCAATTGAAAGCATGGTTGAAAAATGAAAAAATGAAAGCTAAAGACAAACCAAAGTCATCATGGTTGCATAGAGCAGTGTGTTTTCCAACAATGGTCCTTAAGGCTCACTGCCCTGCATGGTTTAGATGTTTCCTTGCCTCAGCCCAGGTGATTTCAGTAGACAGGTGTTTGTTGAACTACAATCAGCTGAATCAGGCGTAGTAAAGCAGAGAAACATCTAAAACATGCAGTGAGCCTTGAGAACCAGGCATCATCATCACAGTTCTGTAATCAGAACTGTGATAATAATAATAATAATAATAATAATAATAATAATAATAATAATAATAATAATAATAATAATAATAATAATAATAATAATAATGGAGGAACCGGGTTCCTGTCTAAGAAAGAAATTCAAATAATTGATTTTTACTAAAATCAATTATAAGCTACATTATCAGCTGCATTTGTGTAGCTGATAATGTATCAGCTACATTTTTGGCAAAGAGATAAAGAGATGAAAAAGACCCAAATATATATTAGCTTTTTATTTGTTTTTTTATCTCAACATCATAATCAAACACTGAAAATATTTGAGAACTTTTAAATATGATGTGACAAAGCAGATCTTTTTTTTTTTTATTTTCTTCTATGCTGAAGTAGGATTCAGATTTATTTTGCAACCACACACCAATGAATCTTTGACCTCAGTTCACCTGGTCACTGACAGTAACTATGGGTGGCTTTTTCCCTTTTAACTTCATATGTGAAGATAATTTACTGACAGCATCAAACAAATAGATAAGCTCCACCTAGCGTAATGCTAGGTGGAGCTTCTTCTCTAATTCCTAGTCAATTGTATATTAACACATTTTAAAGCCATTTATGTTTAATAAATGTGTAATATTTTCTTTCTCTGACTCAATAATTATATATTATTTCAATAATATATAATAATTGATTATTGAAATAATATAATTTTATTTCAATAAATATATCATTTATTGAAATAATATAATAGTCCTTATTTGGCAGTGTAATTATGTTAATATAAACTTTTAAAGGAGTCTTCAGTTTGGGTTATGTAATATAAAGCCTGTCCTCAGCTACATAAAAACACTGCAATTATCTGCCTTCACGTGCAATTTATACCATCCTTACTTAAAGTGCTTTTATGTTAGCTCTTCATTACCTCATTACCTCACCTGTCTAAAACCAAACATTAAATATACTCTAAAATCTGTAAAGAAAGCTTTAAAAATACTTCACACTAAGTGCTTTAAAGAATAAGAGAATAAGTCGATGCAAATGAAACCCCAACATCGTCCCAGTAGTTTTATTTAGACAAATCTGCTGAGGAATGCTTGGTGAAAACCTTCTCCTAAAAGCTGGTTCACACTGTGTGATCATGCTCCATTAGTGGTGAAGGAAGATTTCTGATCTCGATAGTGACTATCGACATCAGATTTAAATACCAAGCTATGTTCAAAATGTCCTGCTTCAACAGATTTTTGTCCTCTCTGGGCTTCCATCAGTCTCCTGTTCTTTAACCGATTCTGTTGACAATAGCGCTAACACATGTAACTTGGTGTCCAAATCCCATTGGAGCTTTCTGATGTGATTCTGCTAAACACTATCTTACACCAAAGAGTGTTACAGTAGCATACATGTACATTCAGAATTTCACAGTATGACGCTTCCACAGTGCGACATGTTCAAGTCTGTTCAGATCCACTTCCATCCAACTGTCCTGCATGTGTGGTCAGGGGTACACCCTGGTCGTTTAGCCGGACAAATAACCAACCACACACACCGACCTAAGTACAACTGGGATACACCAATTTACAACTGCTACGTTATGAATTGTGATTCTTAAATCACAATTCATTCATAAAGCCACATCAGCATCTAATTCCTGTGACCTAACGATAACAAAAGTTGAGGTAAAAACTTTGGGTAAAAACCCAACAGCACAAGTGGCTTTGCTATGTTTTTGAAAAAACTGTAGCTGTTTGATACCAATTTCAGACTCAAGTATCTTGTGAAGAAACATTGTTTACATTGTTTGATACATTTGGAGAGATATCTGTGGGGCCATAATTTTGAAGCTACAGCCAACATGAACAGATTGTTGTAAAGCGGTACGACCCTGTAGTTTGTCTGGTAAATAAATGAAGGCTACCATTTCAGAATGAAGTATGAGCATGTAGACCTCCAAAGCATACACTACTTAAAAATTTAAAGAGAACTGTCTAGGAGACTCAAGTTCCATACAAGTCAAGTCTCAAGTCATGAGAGTTCAGGCACAAGTCTTTGTTTTTGCGTTTAAAGCACAACTTAAGTCCAAGTCTGACAGTCAAATTATCATTTCTGCTGTAAAAGTTAACCCAAAACTCCTGCCAGATTTAAGTTTGCCATAATCAAAAACCTTTCTCCTCAGTGAAAGTAAAGTTTTGGAGTGGCCAAGTGAACAAAGTTTTTTTTTTTTTTTATCTCAATATCACTGTTCGTCATTGGCATATTGTGAAGAGCTGCTTGAATTGCAAAAGGAAGAAATTGCTAGTTATTTAAGTTCCATCCAGTCAGGAGTGGGTGGCACTCATTTACTGCACAATGAAAATGTTTTTCAAAGTAAAGAGGTGGTAAAGAATCTACGACTGAGGCTACATTCACACGTCGGGTCTTGATGCTCAATTCAAAAGTTTTGCTAAAATCTAAATGTTTTTTTTCCTTTTTTGTGTGTTCAATCATGCTACTAATTTAATATGATCACAACCAGACTTCTCTGTGTGAATGGAGACAAACTCCTGATACGACTCCCATGTGCAGAAGCAGAACGTTGATGTCACACAGCAGCGGTCTATTTACAGATCTAATAATGAATGTCTATGGATTTTAAACTTGTTGAGAAACTGAAGTTTTTTTTCCATCGATTAGTGTGTGACTGTAAATCATGTTTGTTTGGTTTTTTTTTAATAAATAAAACTGACAGTCATTTTACATTGATTTCATCAGCAAGACAAAACTAGATAAAAATGTTAAATCTGCCAGGTGTATGATAATGTCGGGTTGGTAACTGCAAGAACTCTTTGTATAAACTGACAATCTTTTGTGAATCCCATATTTTATCAATGATAATTACAATTTAAGTAATCTCAGTGCTACACTTTTGATAAGTCCATGTACTGCTGATGAATAGCTCACAACCCTCCAGCACAGTGAGCTGCTGGACGGTGACCCAACATCACACTTAAAGTGGCAGTGACTCTTAGTGAGGTGGGATGGAAGTGTTGTTTAGTTGACAGCTGCACTGCAAACTGCAGATTGCATGGACAAACCTCACAGAAACCTAGAAGTTATCTTCTAGACTGTCCCATTCCAGAGGTTTCTCTCGTAGTTTTCCAGGCAGATGTGAACGCGCTGGGTGAAGTAGCTGTGATCCGAAATGGCTCGCAGGAGGTCGGTCTGGACCAAGGAGATGTCGTACAGCTCCGCTGTGGATGCTGCACGGGTGTCATGGCCGCCAGGCTCCAGGAACACCTGGCCCGTGTGGAGACAATGAAGAGGAAGGTGAGCGGGGGACACAGCAGACGGGATGAAGATGACATTCTTACTGCATTTCAAAGTCGAATGAGTATTTTGGAATGGGTAATAATCAATGGGCATATATTTTTTCCAACACACCCTAGAGATAGCTCTGTCAATATCTGCTGTTCAGCAGCTTCTGAAAGACTCAGGCAAACAAGCATTTCCCATCTCAATTCACTTTCCCTGCCATTTGGCCCTCAGATTTTATTTCACAGATTATCTGTCTCATTCTATTATGACCTATATGACCCTAGGTTTTAACTAATGTAAAAAAAAAAAAAACATTTTTGTAGAAGTTGCATACACAGATATAGAATATACTGTTGCTTTCATCAGTTAGTTCATGATACTTTCATAAAATAGCCACAAACAGGATCAAAACTAATTGTGTAGAAGTTTCAATTCATATTTGAACTAATTAGGACATTAGTGAAACCACATTACCTTTGGACTAACAATGGTGTCCTCATCATTTTGTCGGATATTGTCGTCTATAAAGACATGCTGAACATTCTGGTCAAAGGGGTCAATCCATATGGGCTTCCCTCCTCGGATGGAGAAGGTGTTGGTAGCCCACCTGCATGCAGACATAGATTAAAATAGAAGGAGAAAGAACAAAGTAGTGTATGTGCTGCAGCATCAATTTGTGTACCAGTCAAAGTGGTCCTGGAAACCACCGAGACCCTCCACAGAACTCAAGTACTGGTAGAGTCCTCTCTCTCCATCACGAGTGGACACGCGCTTTTCAGCCCGGCTCAAGACGACCCCTCGCTTGCTACAGCGGATCTTACCTGGAGTCATATCCACTGTGAGCTGAACCAAAGCAAAACAGAGAGCAAAGGTCAGAGTTAGTAGAAGAAGAGGGTAAGAGAAGAGAGGTTTAAAGAAAGCAAGTCCTAAAGCTTGATTGTCTAAGAAGGAACCTACATTAAATGAAGACCAATTTTCTTCATCAGAGTGTCACACAACAGCTGAGTGTCTTCAGTCAGAAGCATCTTCAAATCGTTTGTTATACAGACTCTGAAGATATCTGTATGATACAGTTTACAGCAACACCAAATTTAACTTTAGGATTAATAAAGTATTTTTTTTTTTACCAAATTTTAGAGTTTTAGTTTCCAGTTGAAAATTTAAAATGTTTCAGTTTATAGCTGATAATTTAGTTTGGTGTCAAAGAGGAAATAATTCCTAAGGAAGATAACACTGAACCATCGCTAAGCACCTAAAACAGACAGCTACACAAAAAATATGTAAGTACAGTTAGATCACTGTGTGGTGCTTTCAGGTTCTGTTTGTAAATCACAGTTTGTAAATCTGTGAAGTATCACAACTTCACAGCCATGCTGGAAGTTGTGATACTAAAAAAACATCACCAGCGATGAATAAAACGGTTTTAGTTTTGAAACTGTTTGATTCATCTTCCTCTAATCTTCTATGTCAGCACATCCAGATGTTTACATTAATGAGGACAAATAATCTACTGCTAATCACTGTTTCACCAAAATTATTTTTTTATCATTATTATAGCAAAATTAAGTAACTATGTTCACTTCAGTTGTTTTAAAAATGCTATATCAAATATTACTTAAAAGAAACGTTACTTCCTGATGTAACACCTCGTTTCTTTAAAAGCTCCTTCTCTTTCTGAAACGCCGCCTACAGGAAGTCATCGCAAGATGCCTCCTCTATTGACCCTTTAACAACATTTATATCAGCATTGCACTGATAAGTATAATGATCTCAGCAGATGTGCAGTTCCACCAGGTGTTTTCTAATTGCTGCTGGCTAGTCTGAAGGAGCTGAGTGGATGAGTCACAGAGGAGGGCTGCTCTAAGATCAGAAGGTTGGAATCTGCAGCAGCTTACAGGCAGAACATGGTTAAACCAGGAGTTTTAGACAGCTGAACAGTTGCCATGGAGATCAAAGGATTTGTCAAACATGCACAGAAGAATTAAAGCAACACTCCATGAAAAAGATTTATTGATGAAAGAATAACATTATAATGTGATGTAAAGCTCAAAAAAGTTGATTTTACATAACACTGCCCCTTTAAGGTGATTTTCTGTCACCTGAACAGTTAATAGGCAGTGTTCTGCAAGGCAACACTGAAAATCTAATATTAGTTGATGTTTAGGAGTGACCCTGCCTCACCTTCAGCTCAGCCAGATCAGGGAACATTGGGTGAGCTCCCTCATTGACTGCCTGAGACACGGCCTTCAGCACCCGAGGAAGGTCTGTCCCAAACGTGCGGAAAATGACGGCAAACTCCCGTCCTTCCCTCGCCAGATCTCTGATCAGCTGGAAGAAGGAAGGGAGGATCCAGTGGTAGAGTCGACCATCTTCTCCTTTAACAGTCAGATGCTTGTCTTCCTGTGGGCAACAGCGTTAAAATATTGTGTTTGCATGATGTCGACTAATTGCAAAGAAATCAAGCATGTCCAACAGCATCCCCCCTTTGACATCAAAAGTAATGTAAACCCAAATTTATTCTGGCCTATAATACATCTGAGTGTAGCTAGCTGCACTGCTCAGAGGGGAGTCATCTTCGTCTGACAGCGTCAGGAAGGTTTCTGTGATCGCTCACTTGCCTTGACGCCCTCAGGCCAGCGGAGCAGCTCCAGATGTTCCTCCAGCAGCCCTTTGAAGCGTCGCCCAGCAACAGAGGTGAAGCCTGGAGAACGTCCAAACTGAGAGTAGTAGCTGGAGGCGTCGCTGCAGGGAGGTAACAGGGAGGCGGAGTCACTCAGCCATTCCCATTTTCCTGCAAGAATTACCCAGCATGCAAGAGTGTCAGAGATGGAAATGATGTATAAAGTTATTCCGATTAAAAACTGTAAAGCTGGGGGTCGGCCTGAAAAGTCAATAACTTCTAAAAAGGTTTTCTCATCCAAAGCAAAAGTGTCTATTCTGCTCACAATTGACTATGTTCAAATTGTCATGTTATTCAGTTGAGTGACATTTAACATCATAAAATAACACAAATCATATTTAGTGCAGCATAACAACCTACTAATCTTTTCCCACCACAGGGGAGACTGGTTAATATCCCCCTGTGTTTACTTGTGTTGTTTCATTCTTTTGCTCAGGATGAGAACATCTACTGTCATAGAAGTAATTTAATTCAAAATGGCTTTTCAAGTATGATTTGAAATGTGTGAGATGACGTGTTTTTATCATTGGAATAAAATGATGGGGTGAAATATAAATTTAAAAGTGACAAATGTTTTTATAGATGAACTAAAAAGTAGGTAGATAAATATTTTGCTTATATATATATATATATATATATTATATATATATATATATATATATATATATAGTCAATATAAAGTCAATATTACCCTAACGAGAGGTATTCTGATTTTTATGTCTTGCTTAAAAATGTTAGAACATAAAAATACTAATATTTAACGTAGACACTTTCAGGAATGATGTCATTTCAGTCTTCCACAGAGTGGAAATGAAAGTGGAATCAAGAAAGTAGTTCTTAGTCACTACTTTAGTGTTCATATGACTTAAAATAAATAGATTAAGTCAATATAATGCTGAAATGTTTGAATACTTTCTAAACAGCATGTCCATTCATTTGTTTCCACGTGTGTTCTAGAATCAGAACAATAATCTCCCGGATCAGCTGACAGCAGCTGGACTCCCTGCTGAGTGTTTACCGTGTTTGCTCATCTTCCCCCAGGTGACGGTGGTGAGGAAGTAATCCAGAGCAGCCACCGTCCCCTGTCCGGTCACCGTGTCCGAGACCAGGATGGTGTTATTCAGGTCCATGTGTACAATTAACTTTTTCCTCGACGCGTGGTCTTTTTCCTCGGCGCGAGGAACCGACACCGGCACACAGACACTTCCGCTCTCCGTTCCTTCGTGTTCCTCCGCCATGACAGCTCTGCGTTTACACAAAGGGAAACTTTCTATCTCCCCGCCTCAGCCATGAGTCAGTTACCAGCCGGTATCCACCAAACACACGGAATATCAACCGCTAACTGCTTCCTGATTCCCCGCTATCCATCTTCTTCTATCTCAATACCAGGCGAGTTGGTGACGAAGACGCCAAATAGCGCCATCTTCCTGTGAAAAAGTTTTTCACATGCCTGTTTCATTTCGTTACAAATAAAATTGTCATTTTGTTTGCAGTGATTAAACTAAGTTTATTGTCTCACAGTTGACGCCTTTGCTACACTGATGTAATGAAACTGATGAAGCCAGATGGAGATAACTAGAATTAAGACCCGCTGTAGTGCAGAGAGGACTGGTGGTTGAGATATAAGGTAGAAAAACCCAAATGGGTGAATAACAAGTTGCCTGTATGCATCAAAATGTTTTTAATCTGTATAGGTGGTCTGCTTGCGACACAGAGGAAAGAGAAAAATCCAAAATATTTTTATTGACCAGAGCAAACCAAAGCAAAATGCAGACAGGACATTTTGAGATTTATGACAGCAAGTTCAATGAAAAGGAAGTAAAACAAAACAAAAGAAAAAAAAAAGGAACAGAGAACATGAGGACTGAGTGAGCAAAGGGAACTAATCCAGCAGAATGTGAAAGAACATGAGGAGCTTAAATAAGAGCTTAGTTACTGGAGAAAGAAGACTGACTGGAAACAGAATGCAGCTCTGAGGAGAGACCATGCAGGCAGGCTGAGAGACAGAGAGATAATAGAAAAGAAGAAGAAGCTGACTGATCGATCGAACGATTGATCGATTTATTGATTGATTGATGATGATGATGATGGTGATGATGATGATGATGATGAAATATATTTTTATTTCTTACCTTTTTTAGAAGAATTTATTGATTTAATTAGATTTATTGATTGATTGATTGACTGATTGATGATGATGATAATTATCATGAATAAATCATGATAATTATCATCATCATCATTAAAAAGCTGAGAATTTTTTATTTCTTAGTTTTTTAGAAGACATTGATTGATTGATTGATTGATTGATTGATTGATTGATTGATTGATTGATTGATTGATTGATTGATTGATTGATTGATTGATTGATTGATGGTCATCCATCGATGATGATGATGGTCATCCATCGGTGATGATGATGATGGTCATCCATCAGTGATGATGATGATGATCCTCCATCGGTGATGATGATGATCCTATGATTCTTATCCATCGGTGATGATGATCCTCATCGGTGGATGATGATCATCCATCGGTGATGATGATCCTCATCCTTCGGTAATGATGATCCTATGATTCTTATCCATCGGTGATGATGATCCTCATCCATCGGTGATGATGATCCTATGATCCTCATCCATCGGTGATGATGATCCTATGATCCTCATCCATCGGTGATGATGATCCTCATCCATCGGTGATGATGATCCTATGATCCTCATCCATCGGTGATGATTATCCTCATCCATTGGTGATGATGATCCTATGATTATCATCAATAGATGAAGATGATGATCATCATCATCAATAGATGAAGATGATGATCATCATTATCATTGAAAAGCTGATGAATTTTTATTTCTTAGTTTTTTTAGAAGACATTGATTGATTGATTGATTGATTGATTGATTGATTGATTATCTTGATGATGATGATAATCGCCTGCTTAGTTCATACAGGCAAATTAAGCAGTCGAACTAGAATTAATATAGCATTAATGTTTTAATGCTGTATTATTTGGCATTAATAATACCAAATATTAATGTCAAATAATGTTTAGCATTAACATTTGGCAAATAATAAAGCAAATATTATTTGGCACAATAATATTTCTGCCAAATAATTTGTGTAATTTGGTGTAATTCGTAATTTTTACAAATGACACCAGAGTGAAAGGGGACCAGCCTGGGACCTTTACTGCAGGGCACTGTGCATGCTTAGCTTTTCTTCAAATATTTCTGACAAATTTATTGTAATAAACCCGTTTAATCATTTTCTATTATTATTATTGGCCTTTGCAGCTGTTCCTAACTGTTGCTCTTGGTCTCCACTGGTCTCTTCAGATCTTCTATCACACAAGACCTGAAAAAACTTGTCAGCGGTTTATCCGAGTCTCCCTGGTTCAGGTTTTCACCTGTACTCTTTTCAAAAATGTCCCTGAAAATTGCTTCGCTGAGCTCCTCCATCCTTCCCAAGGACAACATGATATCTTTGTCCCGAACTTCATTCCAGATTTCCTGGAACATCATGTCACAGAAGCCATCAACATGTTCAGTCTGGAAGCTACAAGCTGATTCTTCAATCATTTTGCTCACCAGACCTTTAACGAGTGTCTGTAAGGCCGTTTTTATCTCGTTCTCTGCTCCAGGTGTCTCTTCAGGGTGATTCTCGGATGTGCCTGCAGCTCTTGGACGAGCTGCGATCTCTGGGATGTCTGTGGAACTTCTAGTTATTGCTGCTTCACTTTTTCCTTGGAGAAATTTCATTTGAAAGCCCCCTCCGTCCATCATCATACCTTCCATACCGGATGACTCTAATGAATCAGAGTGCGACCAACATTTTATTTTTCTATACAGGTCACCTATAAACTCATGACATCTTTCCACCGTGCTAACTCTCTTTAGCAGGTATTCCTCAAAACAGGACAGAATTGTCTCTTCAAACTCTGGAATTTTCATGACTAGTAAAAACAAGGCGTCTTTGTCGGTGCAGAATATTGCGTTACAAAGCCTCGAGAAGATTTTTTTAATGTACTTCTTTCTTACTCTTGAGCGAATTTGTATTTGTTTCCCCTGAACCCGGTTCCAGACCTTCTCGAGGGTCCATTTGTAGATGTCCTGGAAGACGTCAGAGTAGCATATCTTATCTGATGATTCCAGCGCCTGACACAGAACCAGCCCAATAATCTTGCTCACATATTCTTTAGTGGACTGATCCTCTGAACTGAGGTCCCACGTGCTTTTCTTCTCGGCTGTGGTCAATTGTGATCGATCAGAGAACTGATGGTTCTCTCTCTTAAAACTGTTGTGTTCATGGGAACACTCAGTTCCAGATATTTGGACTCTTCCATGGGATGGCTGTTCTTTGAAGTCAAAGTCATTTGATAACAGTGATCTCTCATAATAATGGGCTTTTCCACTATCAACTAACATCTTTACAAATTCCTCTGTGTCTCCCTGAATGGTGTATCCAAAATAGTTGAGTTCAGCCAACATTTCCTCCTTCTGAGGGACTTCGACGATGGTTGGTAAGTCGGGGATACCCTTTCTCAACCAGTGTCTTCCCTGACGGTATTTTTTATAAACCCCATGTTTCCGAGTTACTTGGTTGGTTGGTTTTATCAAGACAGGTGTTTGAGGTCTCTGCTGGTCAGTTTGATCAGCAGTCCTATTAAATAGTTTATGAATGCTTCTCTTGACCAAAAAGCCTTTCTTCACACTGACCGTGTTACTGGAGGATTGGATCCTCTTGATCACTTCTTTGGCAACTAGTTTCTCCAACTTTTTAACGGCTTTCAAGTCAACCATCTCTGGAATGCCCAGGAACTTTGCGAGAGCTTCTGAGAGTCTGTTACCCACAATGGCTCTGACGACCTTGAGTGTGATAGACGTCCACTGGACTTTGTTCAAGACCAGAGCGGAAAAAAGATCTGTCGCACCGACAAGTACATGTTTCTGTAGCCATGCTTTTTGTCTTATATAATCGCTTGACAAAAACGTCCTCCAGTGCTTCTGCGAGATGCTCTGAAACACTTCCCTGAGCTTGGCATCCATTTTTCTAGAAGACTAAACCAAGATTTCTTCGGGATATAAAATTATTATTATTCTGTTGATCCCAGAGAATATCTGCTCTGAAATTTTTAGAAGTTTGATTTACAGCAAGACAGCGACGTTAGTAACAATGAACAATCTGTGACGTACCTTTGTTACGTCACAGCATGGAGGCGAGAGGAAGAGGAGGCCCGGGGCTTGATGCGGAAGCAGCGTCTGACGTCCGATGGGCGGGTTTCATCCGGGACATTCACAACGCCGTCACAGGCTCACTCCATCAACTCTGTTTACTGACGAAAAATATTCACATTCCATTCATTAAATATAGATCGCCTTTTTTTTTTTTTTTTCGATTTTAATGAGGCGTTCATGATATTGTTTAAGCTCGCGCCCCTTAAAGATTTGAAGTTTGCGGGGCTGATCCTGATTGGCAGGGCCGGATTTAGGAGGTTGTTGGGCTGGAGAAGGTTTTGGTGCCCCGCCCACTGAAGACTTTCCAACGCAAATTTCAGAACATGAAAATGTCCGATGCAACTGAACTGATGGAAGGCAGATTTAAAGGACAGCATGTTGCAAAAAAAATTACAATAACTTCATATATTTAAATACTTGAATATTGTTTATATTGCTAAAAACCCCAAAATATTAATATAACTTACTGTGATATGGGTTTTATTTAAAGTACGTATTTATGTGTTTTGTCTGAAAAGCAATCTCTAACTAACATCTGGCTTAGGGGATTGTTCTCAAGTTTCACTGCAGTTCCATTAACCACTTAGATGATTTGGTGAGCTCAATGATCTGCTAAAAGCTGCAATATGTAACTTTCATAAAGTTTTGTTTTTCTTTCAGATTTATAAAAACCATCACAATGTTGCAACAGTATAGTCCAAGACAAATCTGTAAAAAAAAAACCAAACCAAATTACTGTCAATCAATGACTTACTGTCCCAGGAAAACCATTTATCTGCTGTGATCCGTGGCAACAACTGGCCTGCAAATTCACAGCACTGTGGTGTGGGCAACAATCTGCTGCCAAGCAGAAAGAAAGACAGAGGTCTATATTGACACCACAGTGCTGTCAATATAGTGTCAGTTTTAACTAATAAAAAAAACATTTTCTAAAATACATACTTAGTTACTTTAATATTTATTGGACTGCCACATCTCTTGATAGTTTTGTACAGTGCTGTAGAGGTGTATTCCCCCAATTTTTTTTTTATTTCTTACATTTCCATGTTTCAGATCAAACAAATTTTAATATCAGTCTGACAATGATTTTTTTTTTTTTTTTGTAAGAGAAACGTTCTGTGAAAAATGAATTACCAACTGGGTAAATCAAACTGACCACATTTTCTGGATCATAACTAGTTCTATTCCCACTATTAGGCCTAAACAAAATAAAAAATCAGAAAAATAAATGTCATGATTTAAAACAACACTGAAGTACTGACTTGTTTTAAGAAGTCTAATCATAATGCTTCAAATAAAAGGTTTTTAGAGACAAACTATGTTGTTGGTTTAAGCAAAACAACCTGCTGCTGTTCAGTTGAAATAGGAATTTTACAAGTTAAAAAAAATAAACATGACAGGCTCAAATATGAATAGTCTTCACTAGTTTTATTTAAAGATGCATTTTTTCAGATATTCCT